GGCATCGCCCCCGAGGAGCGACTTGCGCCCCGTCCCCCCATTGACCATGGTCGTCGGCTTATGTAAGCTGGACAACCTAAGCCTACACGCCTGCGGGGGAGGAGAAGGGGGAAGATGGGGCTTGGGGAACCTTCAGAAACGTTTGGGGGATTCCAGGAAAACTTATAAGAATTTATAGGAAGCCCCCTCCTTTCTCATGATCCTCCTGCTTACCTAATCCTTTTATATTCCAACGAATTCTACGGACTTACAGGAACCCCAAAGGATCTGAAAACCTAGGACCCCCTCCCTCATTCCTTTCCCCCTCCCCCCCCCCCTTGCCTCAAGAGCGGTCGACGTCGCTGTTTTTCGCCGCCTCCATCGTCGTCGTCGTCGACGACGTCGTCGCCGTCATCGTTGTCGTCATCGTCGTCGTCGTCGTCAGTGAGCGTCCACGACGGCGGCCCAGCGTGGGACTCATTGCGCACGCGGCGCAACGAGTCCCACGCTGGGGGGATCTTCGTCTTGGCCCCCACCCACGACCCAGACGGCGGATCGGCGAAGGGAGGATGAGCCCGCCTGGGAAAGAAAGGCAGAGCGCGAGGCTGGCGATAAAGAACCGATGAAGAATGGGAAACCGCGCCCACATCACAACTGTAATCCTACCCATCCCGCCTTTGTTTTCCAACGGGTGACGGTTTTCCCATAGGCAATCGTCAAAAACGAGCGCGCCATGAGCCTGTGATGATGATGGGATCTATCAACGCGTGTTCTTAGCGATCAGGATCTATCGATAAGATCCTAGGACCCTCTGGGCAGCTGCAGGAAGTCCCCCAGGTGGATCACGATGGGCATCTGGCCGAAGGCGCCGCCGACCTGGTCGTACTCGGCCGCCATCCCGCATGCCAACTTACCATGTCTCTCGCGGGCTGGCGCCCACGGCCGCCAGCCCGCATGCCGCGTCTCGATCCGGAGCCGCCGCTGGACGAAAACGACGACGGCGACGACGACATCCACTAGGCCATTCCTCCACCGCGCGTTTACAACGACCACAACGAGAACACCGGAAAGACCCCCGCTGGTGAAATGGAACTTCCCGCGAATGCAAAGCAACATCCATACGGGGGGAGCGGGTTTCCTCCGCCTCCTCCTCCTCCGCCTCCTCCTTCTCCCCAGAAGTTTGGAGCTGTTCCCTGAAACCTTGAGTGTGGCGGACGCATGGTGGCGGTGGCATTGGCGCCTTCGGTGGAGCCCCCTCTATGGGGCCACGAAACGTGTGAGGGGTGTGCCGAAATTGGAGCTCCCGATGGGACCACGAAGCGTGTGAGGGGTGTGCTGAAATGTGTGTGTGTGTGTGGGGGGGGGGGAACGCATGCGGGCGGTGGCGCTGGGGCCTTCGGTGGAGCTCCCTATGGGGCCACGAAACGTGTGAGGGGTGTGCCGAAATGGGCGTGGGGGACGCATGCGGGCGGTGGCGCTGGGACCTTCGGTGGAGCTCCCCATGGGGCCACGAAACGTGTGAGGGGTGTGCCGAAATGGGTGTGGGGGACGCATGCGGGCGGTGGCACTGGGGCCTTCGGTGGAGCTCCCGATGGAACCACAAAGCGTGTGAGGGGTGTGCCGAAATCAGCGTGGGGGACGCATGCGGGCGGCGGCACTGGGGCCTTCGGTGGAGCTCCCTATGGGGCCACGGAATGTGTGAGGAGTATACTGAAATGGGTGTGGGGGTCGCATGCGGGCGCTAGCGCTGGGGCCTTCGGTGGAGCTCCCTATGGGGCCACGAAACGTGTGAGGGGTGTGCCGAAATGAGCGTGGGGACGCATGCGGGCGGTGGCACTGGGGACCTTCGGTGGAGTTCCCGATGGGACCACGAAGCGTGTGAGGGGTGTGCCGAAATGGGGTGGGGGGACGCATGCGGGCGGTGGCACTGGGGCCTTCGGTGGAGCTCCCTATGGGCCACGAAGCGTGTGAGGGGTGCGCCGAAATGAGCGTGGGGGACGCATGCGGGCGGTGGCGCTTGGACCTTGGGTGGAGCTCCCTATGGGGCCACGGAATGTGTGAGGAGTATACTGAAATGGGTGTGGGGGTCGCATGCGGGCGGTGGCGCTGGGGCCTTCGGTGGAGCTCCCTATGGGGCCACGAAACGTGTGAGGGGTGTGCCGAAATGGGCGTGGGGGACGCATGCGGGCGGTGGCACTGGGGCCTTCGGTGGAGCTCCCTATGGGGCCACGAGACGTGTGAGGGATGTGCCGAAATGTGTGTGTGGGGGACGCATGCGGGCGGTGGCACTGGGGCCTTCGGTGGAGTTCCTTTGGGGCCACGAAACGTGTGAGGGGTGTGCCGAAATTAAAGCTCCCGATGGGACCACGAAGCGTGTGAGGGGTGTGCCGAAATGGGCGTGGGGGACGCATGCGGGCGGTGGCACTGGGGCCTTCGGTGGAGCTCCCTATGGGGCATAGGTGATGATGCTGGTGATGATGCTGGTGATGATGCTGATGACGATGATGGTGATGACGATGACGATGACGATGACGATGACGATGACGATGACGACGACGACGACGATGATGATGATGATGATGATGATAATGATGATAATGATGATAATGATGATGACGCTGATGGTCATGCTGATGCTGATGACGGAGATGCTGGTGACGGGAGGAGAGACGAAGGGGGAGGAGGAGGAGGAGGAGGAGAAGAGGAGGAGAGGAACGCGGGGCGAAGTCTCTTCAAAACGAGGACCCAACGCCACAGGACGGTTGGGAATTAGCCTGGCGAAAGACCCAACCATATGCAGTTGTGACTACCGCAATTGTGAATAGCTTCTTCGGTGGCGCTCCCTATGGGGCCACGAAGCGCTGTACTGGGTGGGTGGCACGCAGGGAGCATGGGCCGTGTTGGATTGTGGCAGACGTATGCGGGCGGTGACACTGGACCCTTCGGTGGAACTCCCTATGTGGCCACGAAGCGTTGTACTGGGAGGGTGAAGCGCAGGGAACAAAGGCCGTGGTGGGTGGTGGCGGACGCATGCGGGCGGTGCACTGGGACCTTCCGTGGGGCTCCCTCTGGGGCCTCGAAGCGCTGTATTGGGTGGTGGATGAAGCGCAGGGGGCAAGGGCTGTGCTGGGTGGTGGCGGACGCATGCGGGCGGTGCCACTGAAATTTTCGGCGGGGCTCCATGTGGGAACGAAGCGCTGTACTGGGTGGGTGAAATGCAGGGAACAAGGGCGGTGGTGGGTGGTGGCGGACGCATGCGGGCGGTGCACTGGGACCTTCCGTGGAGCTCCCGATGGGGCCACGAAACGCTGTACTGGGTGGATGAAGCGCACGGAACAAGGGCTGTGCTGGGTGGTGGCGGACGCATGCGGGCGGTGCCATTGGGACCGTCGGTGGAGCTCCCGATGGGGCCACGAAACGCTTTACTGGGCTGGTGAAGCGCAATGAGCAAACGCTGTGCTGGTTGGTGGCGGACGGTGCCACTGAAACCTTCGGTGGGGTTCCCTATGGGCCCACGAAGCGCTGTACTGGGTGGGTGATGCGCACGGGACGAGGGCTGTGCTGGGTGGTGGCGGACGCATGCGGGCGGTGCCAATGGGACCTTCGGTGGAGCTCACTATGGGGCCACGAAGCGTTGTACTGGGTGGGTGCGACGCAAGGAGCAAGGGCTGTGCTGGTTGGTGGCGGACGCATGCGGGCGGTGCCACTGGGACTTTCGGTGGGGTCCCTTATGGGGCCACGAAGCGTTGTAATGGGAGGGCGAAGCGCAGAGAGCAAGGGCCGTGTTGGGTGGTGGCGGACGCATGCGGGCGGTGCCAATGGGACCTTCGGTGGAGCTCACTATGGGGCCACGAAACGCTGTACTGGGTGGGTGAAACGAACGGGGCAAGGGCTGTACTGGGTGGTGGCGGACGCATGCTGGCGGTGCCACTGAAACCTTCGGTGGAACCCCGTATGGGGCCACGAAGCGCTGTACTGGGTGGGTGAAACGCACGGAACAAGGGCTGTGCTGGGTGGTGGCGGACGCATGCGGGCGGTGCCATTGGGACCTTCGGTGGAACCCCGTATGGGGCCACGAAACGTTGTACTGGGTGGGTAAAACGCAGGGGGCAAGGGCTGTGCTGGGTGGTGGCGGACGCATGCGGGCGGTCCCACTGGGGGCTTCGGTGGAGCCCCCCTATGGGGCCACGAAGCGCTGTGCTGGGTGGGTGAAGCGCATGGAAGAAAGAGGAGGGAGGGGAGGAGGGGGAGGAAGGGGAGGAGGAGAGGAGAAGAGGAACGCGGGGACCGTCTCTTCAAAACGAGTACCCAACACCTCAGGATGGTTGGGAGAAAATCCCAAAAAGTGCTCAGATGTATATTCAAAAGCAATGAAAAATCGTCCCCAAGCTATTTTTTCTACAATTTTTGGATATGTCTCCTGTGGAGGGACAGGCCCGACTCAAACTTGCCAGTGTCCGATCGACATCGCTATCCTGGCCACTCCTTGGGTCCACCCTGGCCAGCAACACACACACACACACACACACACGCACACGCACACGCACACGCACACGCACACGCACACGCACACGCACACGCACACGCACACGCACACGCACACGCACACACACACACACACACACACACACACACACACACACACACGTCGTCCTGCCACAAGGAGCGCCCAACAGGGCCCAAACAGAGCTTTTTGTCTGGCCACGCTGCTGCATTGTACTTCTGGGACAACCGATCGCAGGTTAGAGCCAGGAAAGCATAGTGGACGTTAGCGAGGAGGGAGTGATACAAGCCAACTGCGAAGAGCCTAAGGCGAGCCTAAGCCACGAAGAGGCCCCCCCGACCTAGATCGAAGGGGCAGCCCGAGCACAAGAGTCACTTCCGAGCCCGACGTGGTCATTATTGCAGCGTCCTGCCTGCATCCGAGCTGAGCCCAGCCGTGGCGACGAGAACCTTCAGAGGCGCGTAGCGAACAAGCAGCACGACGACGTCGATCGTCGCCGTCGCCGTCGCCGTCGCCGTCACTGTCGCCATCGTCGTCGTCGTCGTCGTCGTCGTCGCCGCTGCAGCTCACCTGCCTTCTCGCAAGCGCTCACCGCCGCGCTGTACATGACCGTGTCCGGCACCAGCCGCTCGGCCTGCGCCGAGTCCAACAAGCCCAACACGCGTGCCCACTGCTGGACCTTCCGCTTTTTGCAAGGGCGCGGCGGCAACGACCGCGCCGACGGCGGCGGCGGCCGCCGCGGCGGCGGCGCGAGACCCCAGACATCCGCCGATGTGATGTTTTCAATCCGTTGCCTCAGAGGTCCCGACCCCTTCCGCGGGGATGGCTTTCCGTCCTGGATCCAGTTTTGATGCTCCCCGGGCCCGAGAACGGGCCCCGGAGGCCGACATCCAGGAAAAAACGCCGGATCGAACAAAACAGATCCTCGGATCTCTGGGACGGCGGTGGCGACGAAGGCCACGGCGGCGGCGGCGGCGACACATCCGGGATGCCCAACACGTTACGTGTGCCCACGGCCGGACATCGCGGGGGGGGAGGAGAGGCCGGGGGTGCGCTGGAGAGTGCCAGACCGCCCCGCGCCGCTGGGAAAAAATGCACTATTGGTGAGTTATGGGTTGCCCGACTCCACATTTTGTATTCAAAGGGAGGGGGTCACGAGCCTCCCAGGCGAGCAGTTGAAGACCCCCCCAGGCCAGCCATGAAAGGGCGGCCTTTGTAGCCCAGACCCCACGAAACCCTCCAAGACAGCCCAAATCAACTCCCACAGAAAATCATACAACCCGACTTGTGTTATGACACTCGGAGTAGTTGTATGGGTCTCGCCTATCCGACAGGCTGGGGTTCGTGGGCTTGAAAGAGAGAGCCCGCTCCCGGCCCGCCTCGCATGCTCTGTATGCCCTGGCCGCCGGGCCCAAAGCGTGTCGGTGCTCCCCTGGGCATCCCGCCTCACGCTCTGTTGGGTGCGGCTCGCTCGAAGCCAAATTGAATCCCAGACCCCCGACGTCGCCCCCAGAAGTCAGGACCCCTTCCTGGCGATCGGTTCTTCATCCCGAATAGTTTTCTCCCGCGCCCGAGGCCCGGGAAGGGCCTCCAAAGGCCGAAGATGGCGAAAACCCTCCCGTCGCGATTTTCTGTGACGGCGCGAGGAAGATCTGGAAAAGCAAAATAATTGTTCTTGCTAGCTCCTGGGTGCCTCTCCGGACAGAGAAGCACGACGTCGGTTGCCGCGGGGTCACGGCGGGAGGGGCGGCCTCGGAGCAGGCCCGCCCGCCTTTTGGACAGCGGTGGGGTGGGGGGGGGCACCGTTGCTCTAAGCCCACCAGTTTGCTGCTCCAGCTTGGAGCCCCCAAGGGCCCCCTGTGGGCCTCGCGCGGAGTGCTCAGTAGGCCGGCGGGGCCTCCTCTGCGCTCCTGGGGACACCTTGGGCCAGGGGCACGCGGCGCGGGACCACGCCGCAGCCGGAGGTCGCCGAGGGGCGCTGCGGGGTCTAATCGGGCACAGTCAGGAGAGGGAAGAGCGCGGACGGGGGGAGAGGGAACCGCTGGTGGCGGAGCACGCCCAGCGCATGCAGTCCTGGCGCGTGCGTGCCAGAGCACGGGCCCGCTCAGCAAGGAACCCACGTCGAAGGCGAGACCACTGATCTAGAAGCAGAAGGAGAAACGCCATAAACATGAATTGTTGGGGTTCCGCGCGGATTTCTTCTTGGATCTGTGCTCGACTCCCCCTCCCCGGCGCGCGGAGCGCGCCAGGGGCAGCGCCGGAGGCGCCGCCGGGGAGGCCCCGCGCGGATCCAAGAAATCCGCGCGGAGCGCCAAAAGTTCATGCTTACGGCGCTTTTTCTTCCTCGATGATCCCAAGGAGCGGAGGCACCCAGGGCCCGCGGATGCAAGCCGTGCGAAGGGTAAGGCTTCTGGCAGCAGCCGGCCTCGCGCGCCCCGCCAACAGCCACCGCCGCAAGGGGGCCGGGGGCAGCGCCGCCCGCCCAGGCGGGCAGCCGGGGGGGGCGCCCGCCCGGACGGGCCGCGGAATTCCTCTCAGCGCCGCCCCTGCCCGCCCGGGCGGGCCGCGGGGCTCCTCCCAGCGCCGCGCCCAATGCGGGAACACAGGGAAGGTAGAGCACAGAGCACGGCCGCCACCAGGCACGGAAGACCCCCTGCGACCCTGGATTTTTTTGCTTTGAGCTCAACGCCCGCACCGCCTTGGTGAACACAGCAGCGGCGGCTGGGACAGCGCTGCTGGCAGTGAGGGAGACCTCGCTGACCAAAAGAAGACCTCCAGCAGCCCCATGGGCTAGGAGGCTCAGGCCACACGACGGGCAAACTGCGACCTTGGACAGCGAAGCTGGGAAGAAGAGGAATCGGCAAGACGACCGACTGAGGGCCCGCAGCGCGGAGTCCGCCGGGACCCGCCAGGAGCCCCGCGGTGAAGGCCAGGAGCCCCCTGGCGAAGGGCCGGCGGCCAGACAGACGGCCAAGACGGCCTCCAAGATGCCTCCAAGATTCCTCCAAGACGGCCTCCAAGGCGGCCATTCGGTCTCCAAGATGCCTCCAAGATGGCCTCCAAGACGGCCAAGATGGCCTCCAAGATGCCTCCAAGGCGGCCAAGACGGCCTCCAGGATGGCCTCCAGGACAGTGCCACAGGACGCCTCCCACGACGGCCAAGATGGCCCCAGGAGGGCCCACTATGTCCTCCTGCACATAATTCCAGGAGCCCTCCAAGACGCCCCAGGAGGGCCCCCAACACGCTAAAATCATGGAGCAACCTTCGAGCAGGGGATCGACTACAGCATTGATGTCCCCCGAAACTGACTGTTCGTTGCATCTGGAAGGGAACTCGTAAACCGCCCGTGGGCTGCTACGTCTTCCTTCGGCGATTCGACGAACAGCGTAATTTCAGGCCACAGCAAATCTGTATTGGATCTCCTGCTCCTCGTAACACCGCCGCCGTGGCCGCACAGAGGGGTCGGGCCCCGACCCCTCTAGTCAAATGCGCCTCCTCCTCCTCCTCCTCCTCCTCATCATCATCTTCCTCCTCCTCCTCCTCCTTCTCCTCCTCCTGCTCCTCCTGCTCCTCCTCCATCCCTCCTCCTCCTCCTCCTCCTCCTCCTCTCCTCCTCCTTCTCCTCCTGCTCCCACCTCCTTCTCCTCCTCCTCCTCCTCCTCCTCCTCCTCCTCCTCCTCCTCCTCCTCCTCCTCCTCCTCCATCCGTCCTCCTCCGCCGTGGCCAGGAACCGTCGCCGGGGTCGCCCCGCGTCGCGCAGCGCGCCCCGCGGCGCGCGGTGACAGTCGCGCCCTGCCGCGCCCCCTCGCGCCGCCGGCCCCGCGGGGGGGGGCGAGCAGCGCTCCGACCCCGCGCGCGCGCCGCGCGAGGCAGGCGCGCGAGGGCCTGCGCGCCCCTGCGGGGCGGCCCGGGACTCCCATGCAGTCGACGCGTCCGGATCCCGCGAGAATCGAGAAGCCGGACCCCCCTCCTCCTGCTCCTCCTCCTCCTCCTGCTCCTCTCCTCCTCCTCTCCTCCTCCTCTCCTCCTCCCATCCTCCTCCCTCCTGCTCCTCCTGCTCCCACTCCTCCTCCTCCTCCTCCTCCTCCTCCTGCTCCCACCTCCTCCTCCTCTCCTCCTCCTCCTCCTCTCCTCCTCTCTCCTCCTCCTGCTCCACCTCCTCCTCCTCGTCCTCCTCCTCCTCCCTGCTCACCACCTCCTCCTCCTCCTCCTCCTCCTCCTGCTCCTGCTCCTGCTCCTCCTCCTCCTCCTCCTCCTCCTCCCCTCGCGACATGACTTTCTCGACCCCCCCTCCGCACGGGGCGCCTCAAGATTCTGGACCCCCCCCTCGCAGCAACACTGCGAGCGCGATCGTTCGTGACGGTGGTGACCTCCGTGATCACGGTGGCGATAAGTAGACGCCCTTGCGATCGTGGAGGTTGGATCGCACTGTTGAGTGACGTGATAGGCGCAAGGGCTCACACTGTTGAGTGACGTGATAGGCGCAAGGGCGATCGATGCCCCCCACGCAGAATGTTTGCGAGATGATGATGATGATGATGATGATGATGATGATGATGGTGATGATGATGATGATGATGATGATGATGATGATGATGATGATGATGATGTTCATGGTGGTGGTGATGCTGATGATGTTCATCATGCTCATAATGCAGATGATTATGATCGTGATGCTGATGAATTTGGTGTGAAATTGCATAAACAAAAGGCGCCCTACTAAACCGGACGCCCCTGAAGGTCGGCTTCAAGACAACGCCTTAACAAACCAGACCCCCCTGCCTCCCCAAAAGGCGCCTTAAAAACCGGAAAAGGGCGACGATTATCAGGGCCTTGGAAGGCCATGTCGACACTTTGTGAGCGGGCCGCGGCCAGCGAAAGCGGCCACGGATGGGCCGAAGAGAAGGATGCAAGGGCAACCTTGGAAAATCGCTCATCCTTACTATGCGGGTTGACTGTAGGTCGCCAGGAGCTGTGGCACAGTGGCCTCTTTCACGCAGGAAATTCTCGCCGCGCCGCCTTTCCAAAGGCGGGCAGGGCCGCCGATCGCCGGGGCGTTGCGGCGGCCTTCTCGCAGGCGCTCAGGGCGGCGCTGTACATCACCGTGTCGGGTTTCAGCCTGCTCGCGCGGACCTGGCAGGATCAGTCACCATCGTAGCGGGCCCGGTGCGCAACACGCAACCCGTAGCGTGTTGCCACGGAGCTCAGCGCCTAGATTAAACACGTCCGTCTGACGATATGGTTTCTTCACAACGTAGGCCAACACGTCATGTTGCATCACCACGCAGAGTGTTCAACCTGGACGCCTCAACACCGTACGTATTGGTTTCAACACCAGCGTATCAAGGTAATTAAGGTCAACATCGAAACAGGAGATCGGATCGAATAAAACTTGCGTCGGATCGGCCTGCATCGATACATGTAAACATATGGCCGCGTCGGATTGTCAGATATTATTGGGGACAACCGGATCGAGCGGTTTTACCCGGACATCCGACGATGTGATTTTTCAATGCGCGGCCCCAAAGGTCCCGACCTCTCCCGACGGGCACATTTTCGTCCCGGAAGAGATTTTGACGGCCCCCGGGCCGGGCAGAGGACAACAGAGGCCGAAGTCGGGGAAAAACGCAGGGATTGAAACAACACCATTCACCAGCGTGGATCACACGCAGTGGGTCACTGCACCATGGAAGTGGAAGCCCTGCGGAGTAGCCCATGCTGCGTGGGATGGTGTGAGCTACGTGTGGTGTGAGCTGCGTGGTGTGGGCTGGCTGATGTAAGCCATGTTGGGTAGCTTCTGCGGTGCGAGCTGGGCTGTGCGAGCTGCGTGGTGCAAACTGTGCAGCCCAGCCCACCCACGGCAAATGGAGCGCGCACGACCGCCCACGCGGCGCCCACGGGCGGGCACCGGGCGAGGCCTCGGTGGACCCACTCGGCGCCCGCGAGGCGCCCGCGGGGCGCCCGCGAGGCGCCCGCGGGGCGCCCGCGAGGCGCCCGCGAGGCGCCCGCGAGGCGGGGGGGTCACGGGGCGCCCGCGAGGCGCCCACGAGGCGCGAGCGGTGGAAGAGCCTCGGCGGAGGCCCGTCCAACCGCTCTGCAAGAGAGAGAAAGGTGCGAGCTCTGCGGCCCCAGTTTAGGGGGCCACATGCGAACCCTACCCCTACCCCACGGGATTTCTGAGGGGGAGGGGCAGGGGTAGGTTTTGCATGTGGTCCCCTACAGTTCTTGCCAAGGAGCCGGGCCTACGGGCCGCTCTGGCCGATGCGCGGCCGCCGTCGCCGCCTCGTCGCGGCCCGCCGCCTTGGCCTGCGGGCCGCTCTAGCCGCCACGTGGCCGTCGTCGCCGCCTCGTCGCCGTCCGCCGCCTCGTCGCCGCCCGCTCTGCATGGCTCTGCATCGCTTCGCATTACTCTGCATTTCTCAACATTGCTTTGCATTGCTCTGCATTGCTCTGCATCGCTCTGGGTAACTCTGCATTGCTTCGCGCCAGTGGGCTGCAACATCAATTGCTCTGCACCGCTTCGCATTGCTCTGCGCTGTCTTGCATCACCCTGCGTTGCTTCGCGTTGCTTCGCGCTGCTTTCCGTTATTTTTTGCACTGCTTCGCGCTACTTTGCATTGCCTTGCATTGCACTTGCACTTAGGGGCTTGTGGCCGCCCGTCGCCGCCGTGCTTGGTCACAAGTCTGACTGCGCGAGGCTCGCACGCTGCACTGCTCAGCGCTGCCCTGCACTGCTCGGCGTTGCTTCGAACCGCTTCGCACTGCCTGTGTTGCTTCGCATGGCTTCTGCGCTCCTCTGCGCTGCGTTGCACTTGTTTGCGCCCCTCTGCATTGTTTCACACTGCTCCGCATTGATTGGCCTTGCTTCGCAGGGCTTCGCGCCACATAGACTGCCCTGCATGGCTTGCACCGCTTAGGCTGCACCACATGGGTTGCACCACCCAGCCTGCACCGCTCCGATTGCAAGACATCGCTGCTTGGGGTCCACGCTGGCCAACTAACATCAATTCCTGACCGCTCTCCGCGCCGGCTCCGCAGGGGGGCCGGGTGAATGTGGGGGGGAGAGACAGCACTGGCAGGACATGCAAGGGCGAAGCCTGACAGACGTACAAACACAACGTTTTCCATGACCGAGCAAGTGCCGCGGGGCCCCCACGGAGGGTTCTCAAGAAAAGCCAGGGCGAGGTGATATCGCTTGGCCTGGCTGAAAGACTGATTCAAAAGATCGTCGGGGATCTCTGGGGAGATCCATGTCGAATCGCATCGGTCGGACGAATCGGGCCCGGGAGCTGGCTCCGGCCGGCGAGAGACCCCCTCGGCCCGAGACCCCCGACGCCGTGATCTTTTCCCAACCTCGACCCCCAGGAGCCTGGACCCCTACCCCCGGACCTGCTTTTCATCCTGAACGTTTCTAGACGGCCCCGAGGCCCGGGAAGGGCCCCCGGAGCCGAAAGATAGCAACAAGTAGATGCGATAGGCTTCTCGCCTGCACCAGGGCGCGATCGCATCTAAACGCATATCTAATATTTTGAAACGTCTTTTGTTGGCCAGCCCAGAGGCCCGGGAAGGGCGCCGGGAGCCCCCGAAAACTAAAATTTGGATTACCCAAGTGGGGGGGGTCCAGCTGAAGGGGGGTGGTGCAACAGGTTTCGGGCAATTGTATTGCAAATGTATTGCGCCGGAGAATTGTGTTGCATTGTATTGAAGAATGTATTGCGCGCGAAAATCCAGCAATACATTTGCGCCCCGGATTGTATTGCACGCCCCACATTCATTGGAACCCCTCGATATCTACCGCACCAAATCTACTGCACCACTCCCTTGTCGCTGGACCCCTTTTTGGGTCAACCCGAGAAAAGCCTCCTGCCGTGACTTTTTCACAGCGCGAGGGCGTCTGGGAAAGCTGGCCCCGGCCTTGAGCAGGGACCGACCGTCCCGGCATTCCTATAGAGTCCTATCCTACCACGACATGTTCTTAGAACCCAAAAATGTTCCATGAACATCAACAATGCTCTGAGAACAAACATGTTCTAATTCGCCGGCCCAACGGGCCAGGGCGTGCTAAGATCTCCGGTACCTGGTTAACAGTATTTCTAGTTCGCGCGCGCGGGGCGGCCCCTGGGGGTCCCCGGACGAAAAGTACCCCGGCAAGGTCCCGGTCCCGGCAAGGTCGGGCCAGAGATGCCGGAGCCCTGTTACAGGGCCCCAGGACGGGCCAAGAGGTCCCCAAGAAGCCTCCAAGACGGTCCAAGAGGGCCCCGAGACGGCCAAAGATCGCCCGAAGACGCCCAACAGGGCCCCAAGACAGCCCAAGAGGCCTCCAAGACGCCCCAAGGGCCTTCCAAGAGGCCTCCGAAGAGGGCCCCAAGAGGCCAAAATCGTTGATTTCATTGTTTTTTTCGATGTTTTTTGCGTTCTGGCTTTTTCGGCTTCCGGACGCTCCAAGACGGCCCAAGAGGCCCCCAAGACCGCTCCAAGACGGCCCACGAGGCTCCCAAGACGGCCCCGGAACGGCCCAGGAGGGCCCCCAAGACGGCCCAAGTGCCGCCCAAGACGGACCAAGAGGCCCCAAGACGGGCCCAGAGGGGCTCAAGAGGGGAACCGAGAACTGAAAAATCGAGCCCTCCGCCCCAGAAGGCGCCCAGGAGGCCCCAAAAAGGCCCCAAGAGGCCCCCAAGAGGCCCCCAAGACGCCCCAAGAGGCGCCCAAGAGGCCCAAAAGAGGCCCCAAGAGGCCCCAAAACGGCCCCCAAGAGGCCCCAAAACTCGGCTAGCCCACAACGGTGCGACAATATGGTCCGGCGGAATGAGCGAAGCGATCAATAACAAAAACAAGGTCCAAGGTTCTTAGAACAGTGTTTGGCAGGCCTGTAGGCGAGCCAAGACGCTTCTCCACTGCGTGACGGCCAGCGGGGCACGCCCTCGCCGGCCCCATCGCTCGCCGAAGCCTATCGCCGAGGCCCGGCCGACCTCGGGGGGAGCTCGCTCTCTCTCTCGGCGGGCTTCGGGGGCCGTGCCCGCCCTCGGCGGCGAGCGATCACTGCACCCGCCTTGCAGACGTCCCGCAGCGGATTCTGGCGTGGATCCCTGGCAATGCAAAACCCCGAAACGGCGAGTGAAGGACGAAGTGAAATTCGCATGGATGTTTGTCCCGTCTTCACTCCTGGCCACACAAAATCCGCACGAACTTCACCTCGAAATCCGGAACGAAATGCTCCGGGACACTCTGGGTCCATCCGATTGTTTTCCGAACGAAATCCGCCCTGCGATGTTGGCGCCATGACGAGCGATGGGGGAAAACGACAAAGAGCAGGCCGTCTCAGGAGGCTCGGAAGTCCCCCGGCCTTCCGAGAAGTTTTTTTTCTAAGCCTTTCCCGAAGGCGCCGAACACTCCTCAGAAGGCGCGTCAGGCTCCTGAGAAGTCCCGACGCCTTCTGAGAAGGCCTCCTCCTTCTCACTGTGAGCGTTTTCTTCTTCGGCGTTTCGAGATTGGGCGAAAGGGGGGGGGCGTCTGGCTCCAGACCTCTGCTCAGTGCGACTGTTTGAGACGGTGCGTCCCATGAGGGGGGACTCCGCCTGCTCGAAACAAGCGCCAAGGACAGCCAAAGTCCACTCCAGGAGGGGGAGGTGCGAGGGCCCTCGCCGATCAGCAAAACAATGAATAAAGAAGCGATCACATTTCCCCCCCCTCGCCCGCCGCCGACTCCCGGAAGCCCAGCGGGCGAGGCCGCGCAGGCTGGTGGCGGGCAGGGGGGGCGCTTGTCGGTGCGCCCGGACCGAGGGCTGCGTGGTCAGAAACTGTGCGCTGGTCTTCGGTGGCGCGCAGGCCCAGACCTCCTCGCGCTGCGCACGAAAAACTCACGACGTGAGGCTTTTTCCCTCTTTACGGCCTCTGGGGGCCCTCGCCGGGCCTCGGGAGCGTGACACAACGACTCAGGACGAAAAACTGGTCCCTGGGAAGGGGTCCATATTTCTTAGGGTCACTCAAGAAATAATCACCACGCCGGGGGTCTTGGAGAGGGGGTATGGGGGAAGGGGGGAAGGCTTCTTAGAAGGAGGATGCTTCTTAGAAGCGCGGGATTCTTTCCGCCACCGTGCCTCTTCGCATGGGGTGTGCGTGTCCTCGGGTCATTT